ACGGTTGGAATACGGTTGGAATACGGTTGGAATACGGTTGGAATACGGTTGGAATACGGTTGGAATACGGTTGGAATACGGTCGCGACCCGGCACTGACGGCACGACGAGCTTGCTTCGTTTCAGCTGGCTTCCCTCTGGCCAGCGACCCGTTTGCGAGCCAGGACACTTCCAGAAGCGGACCGCCGTTGAATTCGCGACAAAGTTCGGCTCGAGGTGCCTGGCTGGGCGGCCAGCTCGTTGCAGGGTTTACCCCGGAGAGCAGCGATCATCGGAGAGATGTCGGGGGTAGACGACACCGGGTTATCGAATCGGTTCCAATTACGGGCTGGCTAGAGTTAGCGAAGAAGAAAGGGGGCGGACAGAGAAAGAATAAGTGGCGGCATGCTTGATCGAAGGATGACGGAAAAAGAGGTTGTGCGCTGACGCTTCCCCATGACTGGAGAACACCACCACCCCCCCGTGTCTCTGACGAGGCTGTTCCCTCGCGGCGCGTGAGGCTGCGGCAGCAGTAACAGCAGCAGCAGCAGCATTTAATTCGGTCGAAGGACATCGTCTTTCTCGGCGTAGTATCGTGGGGCAAAACTCGGCGGTGTCAAAGCCAGGCTCCTTAGGCTTGGCCGCCTCAAGCGTAGAACTCTCGATTGTGATGGGGCGCGCCCGGTTTCGGGAACGCCTGCGCCGCCGGCGATCTCCTCGGCTCGTCCAGCGCGTACGAGCCCTCGTCCTTCTTGCGCATCCTGTACACGATGAACATCACCACCAGGATCGCGCATAGCAGGCCGACCACTGCGCCGCCGATCACCGCTGCAATTTCCAAATGACGCTTCGTTTTAACCGCTGTATCGACCGCTCGAATATTTCGGATAACGAAACTCTCGAAATAACGAAATAACGAAATCTCCGAGATGATCTCGAGGAAATCCGAATGAACGAGGGACGGATGGAATTCTGGTTGGAATAGTAATCGAAACGGTGGAAAATCGGGAGCAACTCGAGTAGCTTTGGGAGAACGAGACTTTCATTATTCACCGCGTCGAGTATTCAGCGCCGTTAATTATGTAACGCGTTTATTATGCGTGCTTCGGATCGGTTAACTTAACCCAGAATTTCGTCGGCAGTTCCCCCGTTAGCCTCGTGAATAAATACGCGTTCTCGCGGAATGTTGATTCACGTGTCGGTCCCTCGTGCTCCGCGCTGTAAGCATAATGCCAAGGGAGCACGTTAATAAATAACGTAATCCCTCGACGGAGCAACGGTGCAACGGTGCAACGGTGCAACGGTGCAACGGTGCAACGGGGGCGGCGTATAATTCCGGCGTTCCGGCGTTCCGGCGTACAAAGACATTCTCTTCCCGTCGATCTCCGATGTTCGACTGATTGCGCGTACCCCGGTGATTAACATTTTGCCCGTTGAAAGGTGCGTTCGAGCGCGATTCGCGTCGCTTCCAACGATCGCGAATCGATCCCGCGGGGAAACGCGAATTCATCGAAACCTAGGACCTCGGCTCGCTCCGATACTCGCTTTAAAAAACTATGCTAGCTCCGCTCTGGTTCGAGTCGCTGGATTTCAGCATGGATTCGATGTTTCGGAAGATGGGAGACTGCCGGTAGGATCAGAAGTCGAAGCTTTGGGAAGATGGACATTCGAAAAACCAATTATTAGTATTGTACAATGTTCAGTTGGAACGATTGACATTTTCACAAGTTCCCGATTCTCGAAAGATCTCGGAGAAATAGAAAATTTGACAATTGAAAGGACCTTTGGAAGTGGAAACTTGTGAAATTTCAATCTTCTCGAATTTCAAAGCGAAACTCATCTTCTCCGTTTCGCGAATCTTATCCGCGGTTAGCGGAGCTAAAGAACGGTTAGAAAGGTAGCTCACCTGCCAGCACGCCTGGCTGAGCGAAGAAGGAGCTGGCGCGGTCCTCGTGTTTCGGATTCATGTAGACGTCTGTGTTGCTCGAGTGGTCGTCGTCGACACCTGAGGGCTTGATTACATCGACCTCGTTGTCGGGTCGGTTTACAGTCTCCAGGATGGTCTGCAACGGAACACGGGGCTTGAACAGTTTAATCCGTTTAATTCGGCTGCTCGACATGCAGGGGACCCCATGCGTTCCCAAACAAATCTAATAACCCGCCTTAACGTACACGCGTCTCCTTAAATTCCACTCAATTCGTTTCCCCAAATAGGATCGAACGGTCTTTCAATCGTACGATTGAATATCAACGAACGAATTAACGAACATTAGAGGAGCAGCAACGGAAATTTGAATTTCTAGAAATATTTTCACCTGTTCCTTGGTCTTGACAACCGGCTCATCGACCGAGTATGGCGTGTCCGGTTCTGTTGGCCTGTTGGCCACTGGGTCTATCCTGTTGTTGTTGTTGAAGTCTGCAACGTGTAACGTTCAAAGAATAATTCCATAGATTCCGAGTCTCTATTCGTTTGAAATCGAGTGGAGAGAATCGTACCGTGATCGTCGTCGCCGTCCTCGTCGTCGGGGCCAAGGCCGCTACCGGATGCTTCAAGGTCGTCGCGACCCTCGTTGCCACCTCGACCAGAGCCCTCCAGAGGTTCCTGGTCGTCTAGGTAGAGATCGTCCGAAATGGTGTTGTACGTCGAACTTCCTCCCGCCGTCCTCTCTTTCTCGCTTTGCTCCTTCTGCAAGCAAACGATACAACAAATTTACGGAAATGTTCGTACTTGTTCGTTTCGGAGGGGGATACTGGAATCGAAATCGAAATCGAAATCGAAATTGAAAGGAAAGAAACGAAACGAAACTGAGATCGTGGACCACCGTGTAGATAACGCATCCAGCACGCACAGCACGGACAGCACGCACAGCACGTTGTTCCCTGTCTCCGTTTTGGTGCTCGTTTTTCGCCTCGCATCCTATCTCCGCGGTCTCGAAATAGAAACCGTTCCCCGAGACACGCTTGTGTTTGCTCTCGAATTACGGCATGGGGAACGGTGGCATCATCAAAACACCATTTCGCCCCCCTCCCGCCGGCACCGTTCGCTCCTCTTCTTCTTGTTCTACCATGTTGCACGTTGCGCGTTGCATGTTGCACGTTGCGCGGTGCATCCACTTGCACGCGTGCCTTTCGAGATACGGCCGTGGAACTTTTCTGGCTGACGCGGCACGGTCATCGAAAGAAGGTTATCGAACTTTTCACTATCGAACCACTATATGGAAGCAAGAATTATTTCAACGGAAACATTTGAATATTTCGGCATTTCGGAATTTCAAACTTCGAGCCTATCGGAAGAAACGTAAAAGGGTGTTGCGTTCGTTCGTGTCTTTCGTTCTTCGTTGGAGCCTGATTAAAGTTTCATCCAAAGGCGTCCAAGAAGGTATCGAGCAATGGCTGTCAATGATTTCCGGCGAGCACACGCCGCTGCATGCCAGAGCGACGCGCGATTAAGTACAGCATAACAAACGCGACACGAGTAATCGCGATCGTCGATCGAGTAGCCAAGATATCCACCGTTCGATCATTCGTTCGTTCTCCTTTATGAAAGAGAAGAAACTCCGACACCTTATATTCTAATAATATTTCAAATACATAGACAGACGGACGGTATAGAAATTCTATTTCTGGAAAATTCCTCAATTTATTCGGAACCATTGATTCGCGAAGAGAACAACTGCAACTGCAACTGCACAATCGAATGGAGGCCTCGAAATTTCAACTTTACCAGAGGAAACTAATCACGTCTCTAGAGCACCGCCATCTGGCACGTTTCTGTTTACAGAAGCGGTAGTTGCTGGCTCTGCCTGAAAATTACGTCCGTTCGAGAGACCACGAGTAGGATAACACACACTCTTGATACCGTGAAAGCCTCCGGTCGCGAATCACAACACGATCGTTTCAATGAAAAATCAAGTTTCTCCGTCAGAAAGGGTCCATAATTCACGATAACCGATCAATTTATCACGCGTGCCTGCTCAACGACCTCATTAATCTCTTAATTATCATTTAATCATTGCAAACGAATCAATTACCAACGCCATTATAATCGCCTAAAAGATACATTCAATTTTCAACAAATTCCAATTTTTTAAATCTCAACTTTTCATCGGCGAGCCTGCCGCTATGAATTTTTTCTAATTAGAAAAGCGAATATCGATTTTCTTCTTCTTCTTCTTCTTCTTCTTCTTCTTCTTCTTTCATTATCCCGAAGATTAAATCGAAATTTCTAATTTTCAAGCCTTAAGCCTCAAGTCTACGAACGGATCGCGCGAAACGCTGGGAACAATGAAAAATTGAATTTCTTTCAAGATCCAATTAAAAAGCAATAGCCGCGCGAGGTTCCCGACGATGGAAGTGTAGTAAACCATCCGTTGCAAAGGGATGGAACGGAAAAGGTAGGCTTCCTTTTAAATAGATTCAACTCCTTCGTTCGAATGACTCGTTTAGGAGGATCGCGGAACAATCGGTGATGATACCGAAACACAGCACTGAGAGCTGTCGAAATTTAGGAATGACGGTGCATCGGTGAACTTGAATCGAAATTAATGATAGCGCGACCTTGGTATCAATTCGACTTGGAGAATTTTCCACGAGTTTCAACTGCGGAGTGGAAAGCTGACCTAGAAGTGTCCGCGGACCGATAAATCTCAAGTTATTACATTTTTTGCCGGGGAACTGCGTCTTCTCGTGCTGCTGCAGTTGGATATGGAGGTCACGGCGCGACGAGAATGGTAAATTTACCGGGTCACGGAGAGGAGTCGGGTCAATAAATGATATTATCACGGGAAAGTCATAGTTCAACAAGAATGAACGTCAAGAGTTAGCTCATTGTTGCGATTAACCGTTGCGTATCGCTCAATTCTTTCGAGTATTCTATTGTTATTCAAACAAATTATCCAAGAAAATCGAGTACACTGTAGTTTTCAAAATGGCACATAAGTACAGAATAACTACTGGAAACAATGATCGCGCTAATCGTTTGTTAAGATGGTTCATATAATAGCAGTTCTTTAAAGTTTCAAAATTCTAGTGGCAAAATTATTCGATTAAATTATCAAAGAGAAATGATTGCACGAACCCTTTCACAAGATGCTCCTAATAATCTTCCCAGCAAACAGACCACCTCACTGTACAAAACTCCATAACCAAAGTCATGATTCCTCGGAGCACACTTGTTCGACGTCGGAAAAAAGGGTGTTCGTCACCGGATGGTTTGGAAACGGTGGAAACGGTGGAAACGGTGCACCGGGCGCACGGGTTCGTGCGTACGAATGCATCGCGGCGAGAGAAGCGTGTCCCCTCGCGGCTGATCGATAACGCGGAATCTCGTCCTCCTCCCGGGCCAGAGACCGTTCACCGCGCTCGACTCTGTTAACCTTTAGAGGATCGGCACGAAACCTCTTCTAGAACCTAGCGTTGGCAATCCTTAAGCTCTGCGCGCGGTATGCGCGTCACGCGTACATCGGAATTCATTGAAAAAACCAAGAGCAAAGAGAATTTCTATAAACCGGTATCAATTATTTAGAGGCTAACGGTGGTCTAGAATTGTCAATTTTCACAGCGTACACTTATTGGGCTCCATTAAAGGATCAATCGTCGAAAGTTTAGCTACCCACGGATCATCGATCACTTAACGGCAAATTCGAAACTTTCACATACCGCACATATCGTGGTCGAAATGAAAAAATGAAAAAATGAAAAAATGAAAAAATGAAAATATGAAAAAATGAAAAGGGGGAAGCAAGTTTCGAAAAGAACGTATCGATCCTCCAATGTTTAGCAATAAACTAGCCACGGGCGACGTAGCGTCCAGATAGCGAGGAAACTCGTGCAAAGCGACGTTAAGCGCAAGAAAGCGCAAGAAAGCGCAAGAAAGCGCAAGAAAAGCGCGCGCGCGCGATGTTATCGACCCCTTTCGCGTGTTCCTGGCCGCGGCGGCAGTGCCGCGTACCCAGCAAAGTGTCACCGTTCTCCACAATTGCCGCTTCAGGCCTAAAGGTCAAGGTTGTCCTCCGAAATCCCGCCCCCGCGTCGCGGCTCTCGCGACATTCGACCGCGGTGACACGCAGGAATGGAGCTCGGGATTTGCCGAGCCGCGATCCGGAATCCGCAGGAGGATTCCGACAGGGTCTACTCACTCGGCGAGCCTCTTCGTGGCTGCACCACCACTCGGACGGGAGGGAACGACGATTCGCTTGGGGTTTCACGGCGAAAAATCTTTGAGAATTTCGAGATAAGAGCCGCGAGATATGCTTTTCAGCGGTGTGGCGACTGCACTGACGTAGTACGGACTCGGCACTGTAGACGGCACTGTAGACGGCACTGCTCCGGGATACCGTATATACCTCCTCCACAGATAAAACGGGAGGATCCGGCCAGGACTGTAGCTACCGGCATCCCGGATTCGCCACTCTTCGAACCGTCTTTCCACGCAATTTCCCTTTTTCTTTGTCGCGCATCAAATTCGCATTCACTCCGCCAAATGCAAAGTGGAAACGTTCGACTCGATCGATTTCAACGGAAATCTCGCGAATGCTCCTTGTTTCTTGCTTTACGAGCGAATTCTCCAAAGTTGAAGCGTTTTATTCGGGTTTCATTCGGTTTACAGGATATCTTTAGAGTTTTAGTACTCACCGCCTGTTTAATACTTGAACCGAATATATCAGTACTTTCCGCGTAGATTCGAATTAGAATATTTTCTTTATCGCCAAGAATAGTGTCTCCGCGATAAGTCGGCTGATCAGACTATCCCCTCGATATCCCCTCGATATCCCCTCGACGAAAGGGATATTGAAAATCCAGTCTGCGCACATGACGCGTTTCCGCCGTCTATTTGAATAGGATCGGAATCTTTCATATTGGATCCGAATCCGAGAATCTTAACTCCGCGGTGCCGGTTTTTCTATACCCCTTTCGTTTACGTTGAAAAGGAACACGTACGGAGTTTCGAGCCTCTCGCGCGGCTGATAGCGCACGTTCGTGGAAACAGATTGCGGGATATATCGCGACAGTCTGCTCCCGAGATCCTGCCAGCTTTCGCGTCACGAGAAATATTACCTTGGTCCGCTGGAGATCGTATTATCGGCTTATCCATCGTTTCGTGCATTAGAGATGCTCGAACGCGGTGGTTAGCGTCCTTCAAAGCGGAATCGGAGGAGCGATGCTTCCGAACGCGAAAAATTTAGCTTTTCTAAAGCAATTACTTTCGAATAACGACCGACTTACAAAGTAGAATAACCGAACTCGTCGAGCACCAATGAAGCGGGTTTATTCACCGAAAGAGGCTTAACTTGCGCGAGCGAACAAGTGGCCGTGCTTCGCGAACCGAACTTCCCGGACGAAATTTCAACCGATTAGATTTCGCTCGGTTCTCCGCAAAGAGGGGGCATCGATTCCACCGGTCCTCGGCCATGCCGGAGCGAGGGGAGTCGACAGGAATGGTTCATTACGCGCGTAACAGAGCAAATCCGAACAGCGAGAGACGAGCAAGCGCGAGCGAGCGCGAGCGAGCGTGCGGAACCGGGAAAGGATAACAAAGGACGATGCTTTCGAATTTCATCTCACGCCTCATGGATCACGCTTGATTCACTTTCGAGGGACGCGTGTTCCGGTAAGCCGCCACCGTAACCGTTAAATTCTCATCGAGTTATCTTCGTTTATTTCCGTCGAGTGGACCGTGATAGCGGT